ACCGATGACGTCTTAGTACGAAGAACGAAACGAAAGGTAAAAGGCTTCTTTGTTTTCTCATATACTTTATATATACTTCAATTGATTATAAACTAATTGCATCAATTACAGTGATTTTCTCATACAATATTTTTTATGCATCGTGACTGATATTATTTTTATGCAGGGTATATAGTAAAGTAGTACAGTACGGTAATGCAAATTAGTACGGACGTTAAAAAAAAATAAAAAAAAAAATTATACTCAGACGTACACATGTGTAGTACATAATCAATTGCGTATACTATGTATTATCGATTGCATGATTCGTATATAGTATTTATCGATAAAATCAATTACGTATTCGATGTATATTATATCGATATGATTGATTGCATGATCCCATATTTGTCAATAAAATCTCTTTTTATAGTAACAATTGAATTCTTTATTCGATCGTTGAAAATATCGATATCCTATATTTGTCGATAAAACCTCTTTATAGCAAACCAACTTCTTTATTCGATTATTGCAATATCGAATATGGACGAATTAGTGGAAATATCTGATGTTGAAGAATTTTCATATGACCAAGTAGACCCTGAATTCGAAGTAAATATATGAATGTTTAAATAATAAATGCAATCTTGTTTCATAAATTTGAAATTATTATCAGGAATCAGAAGCAGAGTCGTTAGTAGAAGAACTGATAGACGATGAAGAATTGATCAATGATGAAGAAGAAATCCCAGAAACTGCATGTTTTACATCCCGGTTTCGTATAAAAAATATTATCCATTCCAGCATACCTGTAGAATATCCAGCTACCTCGCCAGAAGGTGTTGCAACAGTATTTCATATTGCAGATTGGGCTGATCCAAACCATGCATGGAAAAATGTAAGTATATATATATTTTTTTTAAAATTTAAAAATTAATATATTTATAATTTATTTATATTATATTTAGATTCAATATTCTATGGGCGGTGGTGGAGTCCATGTAATTAAAAAGTCACCATATTTTGGAAACGTTCAAGTGACTAAAGAGGAGCGTGATTGTTTGGGAATTAAAGTTTGTCAATTTACTGATCCATTATTTACAAGCATTGAACACAATGAGGTCGATGTTGAATCATCGTTGTGGAAAAGAATTACTGAAAATCAAAACGTCGATTCTAAAAAAACTCATACCTACGTGTAAATATATATATATATTTTATATTTTAATAATAAATATATACTAATACTAAAATTGTTTTTCAAATTCAGTACATATTTGGCTGCTAAAGATACTTCTTGTAAATTCAAATATGAAAATGGAAGTATATGTTCTGGAAAACCAATTTTATGTAAATCACGTATTTCTCAGGATATACAAAATGTATATCAATGGTTTATTGGATGTTCAATGTATCATATTGGAGATCATTGGCATCGTTATATTAAAGTTGATAGTGAAAACATTGATATTGTGCTTCTTCGTGATTTATTTCTTGAAAAAGAAGTGGTATTTATTAATATAAATTATGTATTTTATATAAATCATTAATATATATGTATATTATTAATTATTATACTATAATTTATTATGTTATATAGATACAAGAAGAATTACCTTATTGTACAACTCTATTGCATCGATCATCCAAAAGAAAAAAATGTGGTACGTATATATATAATAATTTATTATTTTTTTTAAATATATTATTTATTTAATTTATTTATATATATAATTTAGATTATATTCATCGGTTATCTAATGGAAATATTGACCGTGGAGAGATTATTCAAAAGCATTGCCCAGTAAAATTTTATAAATTTACACCACGGGATCTTGAAGCTTGTCCATTTGTTGCAGTAGTATGTGTCGGAACACATAACCATCCACCTCCACCTCCGGAAAAAATACCCGCTGATATTAAATTGAGTCTTCAATCTTTAATTTCTCAAGCGATTGAAGAAAATGATGTGATTACTCCGCGATCTATTCAATCAAGTAATTAAAAATCAATATTTGAGCTGAGTTGACTTCTGAGACACAAAATATATTATATTAAATCTTAATTTAATATTTATTTTTTAGGCAACTTAATAAAAGCCTATTTTAAATCTGAAACACTTTCCGAAGTTCACCAGTCACTAAATAGCATAGACAAGTTGCGTATTTTAGTTGCCAAAGCATATAAAAATATGCATCCTTACGGACAAGGCATTCTAGGTGTTTTTCATGCAGCAAAAAATAGTCATTCTGGAATAAAAGACTATTTGCATCGTATAGGTAAATTAAATAAAGTAGCGCAAAAATTTGATGATACGTACAGTACCCTTAGAATGTATATCACAGTTACACATATGGAATATACTAAAGATACGTAGAAAGCAGCAATGAAGACCACCTCTAATAACATATGAAAAATTGAAGACAACGCTTTTAGAGGAATAGAAAAGGCTAAATGCATCGATTTTTATGAATTTAATCAACAATATTCCAAATCATACAGCTAAAGTATTGTAAAGATATATTGCTGAATTGGCATATCAAAATTTCATTATTAATTTGCTAAGCAATAAATTTACATGCTTAGAAAATTTATGTTGTTTTTTCATGTAATCGTGATATATTTTCTGAGAGTAACTTCTGAGTTGATTGATATTCGGGTAATTAGCTGTGCAACCAAAAATTTAGCAATTCAACAAAAATTTTGAACCAGTATAGGTTCAAAGCTAGACTAGTATTTACAATAATTCTAGTTAACTAGCCTATGCAAATCATCACTTAATTATTTAGTTTGTAGGCGGGTACTATTTTATTAGTAAAATTTGGGTAATTTATCAATTCTGGCTATTTTAATCCAAATTTAGTTAATCTGCTAAATTTGGTTTTGTGACTAATCTATGTATTCTAATAGTGCTGCCAAATTTTTGCGCTACATATATCATATTTATGTATAAAGTTATAATTACTTATATATATTATTTTTATTATTTAGAATGGATTGATTCTGGTCTTATTTTAATTATTTGCATGTTGAAACAGCAGGCCGAGTTGTTAATTAATTTAAAAGGTTTTCAAATCGATTTGGCTTTCAAACGTATTAAGGGTGATATAAATGAATTTGAAATTAATACATATGATGCCAATAATAAATTAAGTAAGCATTTTTATTTTACGATTTATAGATATTATCATATATACTAATAAAATGATAGTTTTAAGTTGTTGCAGAATATACACGAATGTATCATCGGCTGACGGATACAAAAAACTATTTTGTACCTTATTTGAAACAATTCAGGAACTCACCAATAAAAATATATACATCCATCATATTCATCAAAAAGGTTGGGAATGTATAATAGGAGATTTGGATTCTGCGCAAGCGAAAGGTTTAGGGCTTGCATTGTATAATATAGATCCATCGCGAGATTGGGAAATGCATTTAATGCATATATTTAAGTCTTGTACCGTTCATTTTAAACGGTAATTAATCTCAAAATAATTATCCTTAATATAGTTACAAATTATATTTATTGGTAAACCAATAAATATAAAATATAATATTCATTGTCTTAGTCATATTAAAGTTTATTATCGATCCAATGAGAATATTAAGTTAGGTCATATTACTAATTATATATTTATTTTATAATTAGAAATCTGTTTAACAAACGGTTTTCACAAGAAATTCATGATTTAGCTAAGTCAATTCTTAATGCACCTTCACAAGAATTAGTCGAATCAATTTTAGATAAAATCGAATCATCAGACGAACCAGGTGCTAAAAGTAAATATGGTAAAATTAATTTTTTTAAAAAATAATTATACTAATTTAAAAAAAATTTATTAGAATGGTCCAATTATTATAAAACATCTTGGATAATTTCTTCATTGAATGTACATATGTCTAAAATGGAGCGTAATATTTGGAGAAAACATGATAATAATACCAATTCTGCAGAATCGGCTCACGCTTTAGCAAATAAGGAAGGAAAACAATTAAAACTTTTATCAGCTATTCTACGGTAGTTTTATTAACTATATAAAATCATTTATAACAAAACTGTTTATTAATTTATTTATTTATTTTAGTGGAAGGCGATATGATGAAAGGTTATTTAAAATTAAACAAACCTACAAGAATTCGGGCATACCATATACAAGAAATGACAAAAGTGAGGTTAAAAGACAACAAACTGCATCAAATAGAAGAGGTAAACATTTATTTGAAATTTATTTATTAAAACTATATACATCAAATTTATTTATTTTTTTTCATTTATTTAGCAACCCGATATAGGTCTACAAGCACTAATGTACGTAAAAGAAAGATTTTCACCACCAATAAGAATAATAAAAGATTACGTTGTGAAACCAGTTTTCAAGACGCAATTGAAGTAACGGAAATGGAATCAATGAATAATGCTGAGGGTACATCCATGGTGCAAAATCACAATAAAAATGATTCAATTTTAGATATTGAATTGGAAGAAAGAAGAATTGCTTTATTAGAACGTCAAACCAGAGTTAGAAAAGAAGCCGCTGAAGCGGAGGCTATTGAATTACAAAACCAGCAGTTGAAAGCAAGCTTGGGCTTGTAATTTGAATAGCTTAGATTTTTTTTAAATAAAAATGCTTATTTTTGCATTATTCAATAAAAATTTGTATTTGCTTGCAATTAAATAAATGCTGATTATAACTTAAAATTTCATGTTTTATCTTATTTTTGAAAAATTTTTTTGAATGTTCGAATAATAATATGGAATTAATGTCGGGTGTAAATCAGGAACTGAACTTGTAAATTTATAATTCAATGACCCAATTATGCATGTTTTCAGGAATTGAGTCCGGATTTTAAACTTAAAGATATTTATTAAAAAGACTTCGAAAGTACTAAAATATAAAAGAAATTCGTACGTACTAGTACGAAATTTTTTTTTTTTTTTTAACGTACGTACTATCAAAATTTTACCCAATTTTCGTACGTCCGTACTAATTTGCACTACCGTACCGTACTACTTTACTAACTACCTTTTTATGCAACGTGGCGAATACTACAATTACATCTTTTTTTTATACATCATTAATTGAAAATTACTCTCCGCCTTCGGATAAGTCTCATAGGCAGATATTCGTATAATTGGCAGTTAAAATCAATTTAATTTTACATTATTTATACAGTTTAATGTACTTTTTTTTAAAAAAAAAAACTACTACGAATAAACAAAAAAGAAGTATAGAAAGTTTTATTAGGGTTGTAGGACTCCGCTATTAAAAATAATCAAAATTCTTTTTTTGGTTTAGAGAAGTTAGCATAATACAGTAATAGCTACTTCTTAAAATTAGGTTATCATCATATTAACTTCTCTAAAATACAGAAATAAAAAAGAATTTTGATTATTTTTATTTATATACTTGTTTTTTGTTTATTCGTAGTTTTTTTTAAAAAGTACTTTAAACTGTATAAATAATGTAAATTAAATTGATTTAAACTGCCAATCACACGAATGTCTGACGTCCCTAATAAGACTGGTTCATTAATCGGCATATAAAAATTATATATTATACATGTAATAAGAATAGATTAGTAACACAACCAAATTTTAGCAGATCGGCCTGAATTTAGGGTCAGAATAGGCCAGAATTAATAAATTTTTTTAAATAAATTCTTCTAAATTTTTATTAACAAATTGTTAGCCTATATATTAAGTAAAATTGTTTAGCTACTAATTTTGCTACAAATTGTACTAGTATGGTTAGCCAGAATTGTTGCTTAATGCTGGCCAAATTCTAGCCTATTTTGATTCAAAATTCAGGTCAATTTGCTAAATTTTGGTTGTATTACTAATTTATTGCCAACTGCAAGATGGGAAGTTGGTTGCTTGATAGTCTGAGATGTTATGTAATCTAGTTAATAAGAGGCATTTAGATTTGGGTGAGAGTAATTTAGGTTGTAGATATATTTTCTTTTATTCAAATGAGAACTTGATAGTATACTAACATTTTTACTTTAATTTAAACCAATTTTTATACAAAAACTATAGCTTAAGCTTTTTTTAACAATAAGAAAGGTGTTATTTATTATATGATTTTTACAAATAGTAAATTTATTCCTCTCTATATAATAAATGATAATTGGTATTTAAATTAAATCTACTGATTAGATAGACTATATCCACTGCTAAATAAAATTGAATCCTAATAATTAGCTGAACTTATATTAATATATATAATATTTTGTTAGGAACCTCTTACAAAAAAATCATATAATAAATAACACCTCTCTAATTTACTTAAAACCAGAAATAAACAACTACAAAATCTATAATTTATTAAAAAACTAAAAAATAATTACAATTATCTATAGTATAGATAGATAGATAATATAAAATTATTATAAGATTTTAATATATAAAATTAACTTTTGACTAATTTAAACAAATTTATAAATAGTTAGATTAAGATGTGAGTTATTATTTAAATTAAGAATAAATTATAGTTCTATAGAGCTAAATTTAGGTTTTATTGTTTAATAATATTTATTATCCGATGTCTTCTAATAGTCACTTATGATACTCCGCACTGATATTTTCACATAGATGATCACCCATGAAAATATCAAAAATTATTCCACGATCCTGCATCTATTGGACAGGGTTAGTACTTTATTAAGAGTTTTCACTTTTATAATTAGAATTAATATTTTACTAAGGTCTTTCACTTTTATAATTGTCTTGGATAGAGTTATTACTTTACCAAGGTAATTCACTTTCATATAGAGTCATTACTTTACCAAAGTCTTTAATTTTATAATTGTTTTAAACAAGGTTAATACTTTACTAAAGTTTTTCACTTTTATAATAGTCTTAATAAGGTCAATACTTTACAGAAGTTTTTTGCTTTTAAAATTGTCTTGAACAAAATCAATACTTTATTGAAGTCTTTTGCTTTTATAATTGTTTTGCACAAGATAAATACTTTACTATAGTTTTTTACTTTTATAATAGTTTTGACAAGTTAATACTTTATTAAAATCATTTGCTTTTATAATAGTCTTGAACAAGGTCAATACTTTACTAGTTTTGGCAGATACAAAAATTCTATCTATGATTAAGCAGCCTAACGTTCTACTTCTTAAATAGTTTTTCTGGGTTAGGTGTTTCTCAGAATATTTTGGCTAACAAAACATTAATATCTGATTTATTGTTAAAATATTTATTTACAATTGTATATAGATTCTCTTGTTCTCTTTAAAATATCTATTACTTAATATATTAAATACTATTAATTAAATCTTAAAACAGGTTAAATTGTAGTGAAACTGCAAATAATTACTCAATTTTAATAAAAAAAAAATTGATTAAAAAAAAAAAAAAAT